TAGAATTTATTTCAGATTGTGTCAAAACTTGTGGAATTTTTTCCGATTTTTTCGGGGATAGTTAATGCATTATTGTTAAAAATTCAGATTTGAGATGCCAACTTTGAAATGTGGTGCTTTCTTTTTTGGCAAGAGGCAAGTGGCATGTGAGACACTAAAGCATGATACCGACGCTATGAAATCTTTATGATTCACCACTAAATATGCCAAGGCACCTATATAAACTAGTTTTATTATTTTTCTCATTTTGATTTTCGTTCAAACTATTTAGAGCATTAATGGCATTCAACAAATTACCTCATTCTCAAAATAATGCAGGCAGACATCGCCTTCATAGACCATTTGATGTCTTTTTTATTCGTGTTTCTTTCAGACAAAACACCCTTGATGATTTAAGAAATACATTTCTTGAAAAAAGGGTGGTTGGGTGTTCATCACTTGGTGATGGAGTAAAAATATGCAGGATCATTCATGCCGAATTAAAACGAAATATCCAATTCAATTGCCTACATATTTTCTTGATTCATTTGATTATTCCAATATTTCCACACAACTGTGTTGTAAATATTTTAAACCCATTTTAATTTCTTTATTTTCCCTCAATAGAGAATCTTGATCGCCCTCTTTTATTTAAATTGGGTGTCTTTTTTTCTACTTCGGACTTTTTCTTAGATATAGGTACAATTTCGGTATACATTCAAAATGACCAACTCCAAACAAGTTATCATGGCTGGGGAAATATATTTAATTAACGCCCACAACATCGTACACACTCATTAATGTATGTGAATACGACGACGGCGGTTTAACATGAGTATTGAAGAAAATACAATTGCCGTCGGAAAAATGAAATATTTATCTACAACGCAAAACTTGTAGAGTTGTGGCTCTAACAAGTCGCATACACAAACAGACACATTTCGGAACACTGCCAACGCTCTGTAAATAGCCAGCTACCATTTTTTTCCGGGGACTCTCCCTTTAGATTTTTTCCAACATTTCTAATTATATTTTTTTAGAAATTTTCTAATTTCTCTAAATGTTATTTCTAGAAATGGTAAGGAAGGCGCCATGAAGAATAGGGGTCGCCGAACATAATCGCCATTGCAATTATGGGGTTTTTGTCCGGTTTTTTTTTTTTTGTAATAATCCATAGAGGACAAAATCACAAGCTCTGGCCAAAGCCTGTCTACGTAAAAAGCTATAAAGGTTAAATACATATTTAGTGGAGAAAATGTCAATTTCATTAATGTCTTGGGAACTGCAATATTTCGGCACATTTGGCACCATTTTGTAAAGACCACTTATACCCCATAATGGGTCCATTAACAGGGTGGGATGAAAAATCTGCAACCAACTTCAGACTGCTGTCATTTCTAAGCCACTCGTCCGCCAGCTGTTAAAATTATTCCAGTGACAGCTCATTATATTGTTTACAAGCGTACAACAGCATTTTGGTGGGAGTTTTTCAGAAAAAAAGTTATTCGTCATGGAATTCAAGCGTGATAGTGTGATTTCTTTATATTTGGCTGGAATACCGCAAGTGGCTATCGTTAGAGCACTCCAGCATTTAAATGTGAATAAATCCTTTCTGTCTCGTACCATCGCTGGTTACCGTGATACTGGTAGCGTAGCCCGACGTCAAGGAAGTGCACGGAAGAAAACAGCAACATCAGCAGAAATGGTTCGAGGAAGTGACTTGATCGAAATCCGCGTCGCAGTGACCGAAAAATGGCTCTTGAGCTGAACATATCGCAATATTCCATTCGGCAAATATTGAACAATGAGCTCGGGGTAAAGCCTTTGAAATTCCAGAAAGTGAAAGAACTTACACCGCAGCAGCAAGAAAATAGATTCAAAAGAGCTAAAGAGTTGCTTCGCTTGGCCGAAATTCGTGAACTGCCGAATTTGGGTTTCTCCGACGAGAAAACATTCGTTGTCCAGCAGTTTTTAAACAAACAAAATGATCGTGTTTACTTGCCAAAGAGGTCAGCTGAAAAGGTGCACCTTCTGTTAGCCACTAGAACTCAAGCGCCGGCCATGGTGATGGTTTGGGCAGCCATAACATCCGATGGTCGCTCTCCGCTTGTATTAATCGACAGAGTAAATGCCGAATTTTATCGCGAAAATATTCTGGAGGGTGTATTAAAGCCTTGGGCACGCAAAAATTTTGGACGCAGACCTTGGACATTCCAACAGGACTCAGCACCATCGCAATCAGCACGCGCCACCCAAGAATGTTTACAAAATGAGGTTCCTCGCTTCATTTCCAGCGCACAATGGCCACCAAAGTTTCCTGATTCCAATCCGTTGGACTATTGTGTCTGGAGTATTTTGGAAAGCAAGGTTGGTACTAAAAAATACCAAAGTGTCAATCAACTCAAGCAAGCGCTTCGCCGGGAATGGGCCAAAGTACCGTAGAGCAACATTCGGGCTGCGTGTGACGGTTTCATTGGCCGTTTGAAGGACATAAATCGTGCCAAAGGGTGACCAATTCGAACAAACCTAAACTTATTCTAAAATTTGATGCTATTTCCGGCATTTTTTTGTTTGCATTCAATAAAATTAAAAGAAAAAATTAAAAACTATGGCGTTTGAATTTTTTGCATCTTTTTTATCTCACCTTGATGGTATCACAAAGTAAAACAAAATTTTCCAGTTTGATTAGCTTCAGAATAAGAATAAAGTCCATTTTACAAAAGAAATTTTAATGAACTTCAAAAAATTGCATTTAAAAAGAAGCCTTCATTTTTTAAGGCCATGTGGCTCAAAAGTAGGTTTTCAGGGTATTAAATGAACAAAAAATGCGACAAGTCAAATTGCCGTCGGCGAAAGTCAAATGAAGAAGCCACAAACATTACAACCATCTTCGAATAAATATAGTATTTATGTACCTATCTGCGTAGCTATAAAAACTGATGTTTCAACACATCGTAAAATAGAGAGGTAATAAAGCTTTTAAATGTGTTGTAAAATGCTAATGTTTAACTGAAAATATAAATTATTTTATACAACTCTATTAAACTGTTAATCTATTAATCGTATCATTTGCATTTCATATCAACTTATAAAGCAAAAACTATCAAACAAAGAAATAGAATTCCGCATAGCCAAACAAAAAATATGCATTCATTTCGAGACGCAATTAAATGATTTATTGGCTTACCTCTTTCTCCACGCCGTCAAATCCAAGGCAATCATCATCCATTCATTTGTTGACCACAAATCAATGTCGATATTCTCTCTTGCTCACACACGCACAGACAGGCATCACACACACATCCCAGCTACTCTTCTGTTCTTGGAGAACGAAAAAAAAACATAACTCTAACAACAAAACACGCGTTTGGTTGGATGTTTATCACGAAAAACCCGAACACACTTCGGCTCTACTCAATTCTGATTCGCTGATGTTGGTTATTCAGCACAAATGACTTGCTGAATTCGCCGTTGTTTTTGAGAGCGGCTGAGAGCAAGGGGTGGAGTTATAGCCTTGCTCTCTGCCATTTTAAAGAGCTGCAAAGAGAAAACAAAAATATACATGAGAAAAAGAGCGTAATAAAATGTAATTGCCAGTGAGAGGCAAAAGCAAAGAAATACAAAAATGGTGAAGGAGAAAGTCAGTTGAGGCGAAGTAAAATTCATAACGAAACAGAAAACAAAGCGAAATTGCTGAAAGCAAACTGGGAAAATAGAACGAACCGACAATTGAATGTTCTAGAGATGTTCGTAAATGGTCAGGCAGAAATACAAGAAAAAAAAACATTAGAATTTATGGAAAATTTAGTCATGATTGGGAGAATTAGATAATTGGAGAAAAAAAAAAAATAAAACTAAATTGTCTTAATAGTGAAGGTAAAGTAGTAATTAGGACTAATTATTAGGTACAACTCATTTCGAAAATTAAGGATATTAGGGAAATCAAAATGTAAATCTCTTTGGGAAAGATATTATAGGCATATTCTTTGACATATTTTCCGAAATGGCTATGCGCCTATTTAATTATTTCGTAGATAGGTATATTAATAATCAGGTAACTATTCATCCGTAGCGCTTCGCCGGGAATGGGCCAAATTACCGCAGACCCCTACCCCTACCAATCGACGCGGAATTCAGCATGGGGCCGGTCAGAAGCCTACCATTTTGTTCGGTAATCGGACAATATTTAGCGGGTAAAATAGACTACAACTTTTAAGTAAAAAATATGAAAATTTCCACCAAACCACGAATATTTTTTACCCTCGCGAAATCACAAATGCACGAAAATGTCACTTCTGACCGTTACATTGATGCTCATATCCAAGATATCGCATATATAGCAAAATCTGTACAGTCTCCTTGATATAGGAGGGGGATGCTACTATACTCCTTGAGGGGGATGCTACTATATATAACTCAAGAACGGCTGGACGGATATTGACAATTCTCACAAATTAGAAATGGTCTCTTGCCAGAAAAGGATAAAATCTAAGAAAATCGCGTAAAAATATGCCAATAAAAATTAAATATTTTTTTTTTATTTTTTGTCATATTTTGATGATATATCAATTTTGAACACAATCGAAGACTTCAATTTGTAACTGTTTAACCTTTGTAGAGATACCAGAATCGAATGATCGCATCTTTGAAAATTGGAAGTATGTAACATTGCCTGAAGTGAAAATCAGCACCCAATACGAGTCACTGTTTGGTACGGATTTTGGTCCAGAGGCATAACGGGGCCAATTTTGAAAAATAGCAAGAAATGGGCGTTACGTTATCGGGTCACATTGAGCGAATATTTGTTCACCAAAATTGAAGAGGAGATATTGACAAATTGGTTTTAACACGACGACTATTTTGCGGATCCTATACACTTTGGTATAGATGGATTATCTGCCACAGGAATTTTAGAGGCCTTTTTTTTGAAATGGATTTTTTTTTTGCAATTGACAAAAAATCTAACAATCTTAAACCTTAAAATAACAACTACAAAAACATAATTCTCCAAAAGCCAACAATTAAAACAATTAATTTTTATTTTATTTTTTTCTTACTAGAACATAAATAATCAGCAATAGATAAAAATAACAATTATTATAAAAAAATGAATGCATTTAACAATGAAAAGAAAAAAATGAAACACCAAGCACGTACTGATAACTTGTCTTAAGATCTGACCAAAACTTCGTAGTTGTCGAGGCGCACCTCTTGACCACCGAACGGAATGTACAAACAGCCATGGGAAGGATGAATTTTGCCAGGTGTCAAACTGCCGCTCCAATGACCGCGTCCAATGTACAAAGGCTCACCGTCGGAAGTGCGGCCACAGACCACGGCACCGGGTGGAACACTGCCATTGGAGTCGGGTACCCAACCATAGCCGTAGCCGACCAACAATTCATAGTCTTGCTTCACATGTTCGCCACCGCCATAGGCGACATAGGCACAGCTCTTGCCGGGAATGACTTTGGCGGGCAACAGATCACCGTTGTGGTAGGCACGTCCAATATAGATGTCCTGGCCATCGCAATCGGTACCACCATGTACGGTACCAGGCACAACGGAATAGCCCGAGGAGGAAATCCACGTCTCAGGTTGTACCAACACTTCGTAGTGTTCCAATTTGACCTCGGCGCCACCATAGGGAATGTACAAACAGCCGTGGGAGGGATGGACTTTACCGGGAGTCAAACTGCCGGCATGATGGCCACGTCCCACATACAAGGGCTCACCATCACTAGTGCTGCCAACACGCAAGGCATGTGGTGGTACCGAACCAAAGCTGGCGGGGATCCAGACTGCAATGGTGCAAAGAAAATTGAATGGTAATTAATATGTCTTTTGACATTTATCTTTTTTTTTTGAACTCACCATAATGATGACCTGTCAGGATCTCAATGTCATGTTTGTTGTGCTCCTCACCGCCCCAGGCGACATAGGCTTGCTTCTTGTTGGGAATCACTTTGCATGGCAACATATCGCCATTGTGGTAGGCACGTCCAACATAGATGTCATCACCATCCGAATCATTGCCGGCATGGATGGCAAATGGAGGCAAATCCTCATAGACGTTTGTCGATACCCAGGTGTGATCTGTAACGTGTAAGTGTTTTCAATTGAAGAGATGTTTTTGTAACAATAAAAGTGTGTGTATGTGTGCGCTCGGTTGGGGAAACTCGGAAAGGAGGTCTTGTGTTAATATTTTTTTTTTCAGATGGAACTTAAAAAGCTCCAGCTTTTGTAGGTGTTTTTACAAATTTAAGTTAAATCCTGCACCCCCGCCTTCTCTTCTAACAAAGATCAATATTTCGGAAATTCAAGCGAAGCAAGTCTTTAGCTCTTTTGAGTCTATTTTCTTTCTGTTGGGGTGTAAGTTCTCTTTCTGATTCTTCTCCCACATTGAGTTCAAAATTTTGAAAAACATATAAGCGTTTTGTGTTTCAAAATTTTGAACCCATTGTGGTAGAACTACAGGAAAGAAGCGAAATAAGCATCCAACTCTCTTCAAATTTTACACATCCAACCCGTTCTGGTACCTCAATCACAAAGGCTCACAATTTCCAATACTTATATCTGTCATAATTACAAAACATGTAGGAGATTCTATACAACATGCTGTATCTAAGTATTTCCCTTAGCTAGAAATCTGATATGAATGTTGAACTAATCGGAATGTATGATTTCGTATTAAATTGGATTTAGAAGTTCGATTGCCTTTTAATTTTCACATACCTATATTTTTTCGCTGTATTAGATGAAGTGGAATACTTCGGTCCACTATATCCGGTACCTCACGCATATTTCCACATTTTCTAAAAAATTGCATATATCTCATATAAAGTATAGGAAGTAGTCCAAATCCGGCTACAGCGTGCCAGTCTTAGGTCAGATACGAATAGGATATTGACCAACTGCTTCGGAACCTCCCCATAAAGGATCAACAGTTTGAATAATCATAACTCAAGGCTGAGGGATATACACCTGTTGGCAAAACCGACTGATTTACTTGTTTTATCTACAACAGATTTGTATTTGTTTTTTTTATTTCAATCAGAGACCCCTGACAACGAACCGGAATTTTGAAATTGCAAAAATATTGGAAATCATTAACTCATTTGCAATTAAAGATAAAACGAGTTTAGGTTTGCAAGGAATGTATTCAGCCGCTACAGCTTTTCGGTGTCATAAATAAACGAAATGTCACAAAAGTTTGACACGCAAACAAACACAAAAACTATTGCATTAATGGATGAATGTTTTTGTTTATTTTGCGGCAAAAGTTTAAAAATTTATCAAAAAAAAAAAAAAAATTGGGGGTGGAAGAGAAGTGGTTGAGTGATAACGAACGCCGAGTGCCAAGAGAGCTTTAGATTACAAAAACAATAAAACAAGTCACCTTAAAATGTTTAGAAATTCTTGGAAAAAGCTCCTTGAAACTTTTGTTGCCATCATTCGACAGCAATGTGTGGAGGAGAGGAGGTAATTTTTTTTTATGACATCCATTGTTGTTTGCCTTCATTTATGGGGCGGACTATCAAAAGTCAAACAAAGTTACGGGTACTTAAATAAACAAGTTATCAGGGTCTAAAGCATTTAAAGATTATTGATTGGGTTCGATGGCGTGGCAAAAATTCAACACTGCATTCGTTCAGTTAATCACTCCTGATTAGGTGGCATTGCAGTCGAAAGCGAAAATGACTGAAACGATTTTTCTTTTTTTTTGACAATTCGAACTGGAATGGGGATCAGCGGTATTACTTGGGTATTATTTTTATTTCGATGATGGCTGGCTTATGTTTTCACATTTGGCCTTAAATTATTTACACAACTGGAAAATGTAGTGCCCGCGGAAGAATAGCTCAGGTGAAAATGATCACTTGTGCTATTTTGCAATATTTCCCCGAAGAAAAAAAGGTGTTTCGTTTTATTTATTTATTTATTGTTATGGTAGTATTGTAATAATACCTGTTGTCTGATGGTGTATTGGGGTGGAACGCAAAAAATGAGGTTGGTAAAAATTTTCGACTTTATACGAGCAATTTTTTTATTATTGGTCTAATCCAGAACTGCAAGAATGTCACACTTTTTACTACGATAGCCGATTTTCCCTTTTATGATATCGAAAAAAATGCAAAATTACTGGATTCCTGAAGGTTCTGGAACAGAGCATATATCACAACCAAAGAAACTGTTCACGCCAAAATAAAATGCATTTTTTTCATAATTTTGTCTTGTAAATATGGCTGGGATACAGTTAAGGGAAGCATTAGTCAATCCTCGCCTTACAAGGTAATGAAAATCAACTATAATATGCCTTACCAGTAAGTTGGAAAAGATGCCCATGACAATAGAAGCTAATTTTCGGAATTTTTTCAGCCTATATTGGGTGTTTATTTGGCAGATTTTTAAATAGTTATGGCTGGCAAAAATGCTCATTTTAGTTACGAAAAGTTTTCCGTTTTAAAGGACATTTTTACAAGGAGTATTCCTGAAAAAAAGAAGCCTAGTACTGTTGTTAAGTTTTAAACGTCAGATCAATACGTTTTATATCATCAGACAAGGAGAAAACTCAATTTATATTCAAATCGGTTGACTTTTAAATCCAGAGCACAGATTTACTCGTTTTTCACAAGTGAAACAAGCTCGCGAGCGGGATTTACATGGAGTTTAGTATTCACTCACAGAGAGTGGGAAATTTTTATGGAGTTTAGACTTCACTCTTTTTTTTTTTTTTTTTTGGTGGGAAGTTTGAGAAGAGGTGGATGCTTATTTCGCTTTCTTTGAGCGTGTTTTGTTTTTCAAAATCTTGAACCCTATGTGGTGGAGGTACCAGAAGAAATGGTCCGATATCTAAAAATCCTTTTAACCTCGTTTTCGAACGAATTTTGCTCCCACTCCAAAACGAGCAATACATGCTGGCCCACATTCGAGAATTTTGATCGTTTTGTTTTGTTTACTCCCAGGAGTTGTTCTCCTGCTTCAGTTCGAGGGTATTTCACCCTCTACAGGGTGAGATGAATAAACTGCAACCAACTTCAGACTGCTGTCATTTCCAAACCACTCGTCCGACAGCTGCTAGAATTATTCCAGTGACAGCTCATTATATTGTTTACAAGATTACAGGAGCATTTTTGTGAGAATTTTCCAGAAAAAAGTTATTCGTCATGGAATTCAAGCGTGATAGTGTGATTTCCTTATATTTGGCTGGAAAACCACAAGTGGCTATCGTTAGAGCGCTCCAGCATTTAAATGTGAATACATCTTGTGTTTCCGAACCATCGCTCGTTACCGTGATAGCTGGGAGCGTAGCCCGACGTCAAGGAAGTGAACGGAAGAAAACAGCAACATCAGCAGAAATGATTCGAAAAGTAAAGAAGCGACTTGATCGAAAACCGCGTCGCAATTGCCGAAAAATGGCTCATGAGCTGAACATATCACAATAGTCCATTCGGTAAATATTGAAAAATGAGCTACCCCGTTGAAATTGGAAAAAGTGCAAGAACTTAAACCGCAGCGGTGGCCGAAAACGGTGAACTTCCGAATTTAGTTTTCTCCGATTAGAAAACATTCATTGTCCAGCAGTTTGTAAACAAACAAAATTATGGTGTTTACTTGCCACAGAGGTCAGCTTAAAATGTGCACCTTCGGTTGGCCACCAGAACTCAAGCGCCGGCCATAGTGATGGCGTGGGCCGCCATAACAGCCGATGGCCGCTCTCCGCTCATATTAATCAACCGAGGCATAAGAATAAATGCTAAATATTATCTCGAAAATATTCTGGAGGGTGTATTAAAGCCTTGGGCACGCAAACATTTTGACCGCAGACCTTGGACATTCCAACAGCACTCAGCACGCCATCATGCCACCCAAGAATGGTTACAAAATGAGGTTCCTCGCTTCATTTCCAGCGCACAATGGCCACCAAAATCTCCGGATACCAATCCGTTGGACTATTGTGTCTGGAGTATTTTGGAATGCAAGGTTGGCACTAAAAAATACGAAAGTCTCGATCACCTTAAGCAAGCGCTTCGCAGGGAATGGACCAAAAAAACCACAGAGTAACATTCAGGAAGCGTGTGAGGGTTCCATTTTCCATTTGAAGGCCATAATTCGTGCCCAAAGGTGACCAATTCGAACAAATCTAAACTTATTCTAAAATTTGATGCTATTTCCGACATTTTTTGCTTCACTTCAATAGAATTAAAAAAATGTAAAAATTATGGCGTTTTACTTTGTTGCAGTTTTTTTATCTCTCACCCTGTATGTACTCTGATCTTAAGTATTTTTTACATTTTCGTCATATTTTCTATTTAATTTTCGGAAATTTAGGTATTTTGAATTATTTGTTTTTTTTTTTTTTTGTAGAAATGCCGTGCCCTTAAAAAAATACATCCTATTAAATACATCCTATTACTTTTTTACCTCTACTTTCAAAATCTGCTGGATTTTTCCTGTTTTTTTTTTTTTTTTCTTTTTTTTTTTTTTGAAGAAGATTGAAAGTTGTTGAACATGGGGTCGATCGTAATTTTTTTTTTGTGTTGCACAGTGTAATTTAATTTTTTCTTTAATTTTTGTGGTTTTCGGCACCACCTAATATACGTGGATATACTTTTTAGACAATAACAATTTTCAATTCAATTGCCATTCGATATTGACTGATATGGCATGGAGAGGGAACCACACGACATGCATATTGTTGTGTTAATTGTTTTTATACCCTCCACCTTTCTATGGAGGGTATATTAGCTTGTAACTTTCGTTTGTAACTCCTAGAAATATTCAGTAGGGTCTATACAAAGTATATATATTCTGGATCAGCGTAAAATTCTAAGACGATCTAGCAATGTCCGTCTGTCTGTCTATCTGTCCGTTGCCATCACGCTATTTTTGGAACGAATTGAGATAGAGAGCTAAAATTTTGAATACATGCATAGTTTACCAGTAGGCAGGTTGAGTTCCTAAATGTGCCATGTCGGTCCACGTTTTCGTATAGCGGTACCTCCCGATATTCGGTATTTTCATGATTTTAACGAAATTATTTACCGGAATAGTTTCAAACTTCGTTTTGGAAGATTTTAATGGGTACTGCAACCTATGGCAAAAAATGCAACTATGCAGGCCCACGTCATCGTATAGTCCCCATATAGCGGTACCTCCCGATATTCGGTATTTTGATGATTTCAGCAACATTATTCACCGGAATAGTTTCAAACTTCGTTTTGGAAGATTTTAATGAATACTACAACCTATGGCAAAAAATGCAGGTCCACGTCTTCGTATAGCCCCCATATAACGCTTCCTCCCGATTTTCGGTATTTTCATGGTTTTGGCGACATAATTGGCCGGAATGATTTCAAATTTCGTATTTGAAGTTCGTAATGGATACTACAGCCTATTAAAAAGATTTTCGTAAGCAGGTCCACGTCTTCGTATGGTCCCCATATAACGGTTTTCAATTAAGTGGTAATTTTCAGTTTTTTTATTTTTTTTTTTTAATTTCCAAATGGTGGAGGGTATTAAAAGTTCGGCCCTACCGAACTTAGCTTCTGTTTTACATGTTTTTTTTTTTTGTTTTTGGTACTAATTATGAGTAAATTCAATATTCAATATTTTCTGCAAGGTCTATCTGATATAATGAGGGCAATAAAAATAACCGTTTTTTTAACGCCACGTATAAAAATGACTATTTGGTGCATGGCTAAAAAAACCTTATCAGCTAAAGGCTTATCAGAGGTTTGGGGAGGGAATGAATGTTGTTTCCAGAAAGAATAAAGGTATGACTACCAAAAGTGAACGAAACACTGAATTATTTTGAAGAGTAAAAAATATGCTTGCAAGGAAGAAAACTGCAAACCTCAAGGAAGAATGAGGAAAATTAGTAAAAATTATGGTCTTTCCAAAAATAAAAAAAAATATATTAACTAAGTTTAATTAATATGCGAAGGACAAATTCACTGAAACTTTCAAAATTTATAAAAGCCAAGTATTTTTTTTTTTTTTTTTTTTTTTTTTTTTGAAAAACCGGCATAACATTGATAAATTGATAATTTAGTACTTCCCAAAACTCTAAAATATACTAAAAAATATACATTTTCTTTATATGAAAAAAATCATTTTTTTTAAAGTTATTTCAAAATATCACTTTTTTTCCTTTTAGCCACACTCCGAGTTTCCTTTGACCAAACTTTATAATTATTATTATTTTTTTTTCTTTTCAACAACTCTACTCACCCATATTTTTGTGTCGTTTATTTTTTTTTCTTTGTCAAGCGGTGTCAAGCGTTATACTAACCGTACTAACTATGAGCGTATTACTAAAACTGCTGGAAATTATTTAAACATGCACTTTATCAGCTCCTTTAGTCGCTGATAAGAGTGTGCCAACACCTGATAAAACAAAATTACAGCAGGGCAACGGTTGACGCAATACAGGGTGGGTGATATCGGAAATATCAGCAGGGGATCTACATGGCTATGGTATTTGTAGATTGGGCTTTCGAAATAGACTTACATGAGAAAAAGAAAAATGAGTAAAATTTCTGAAGTCATTGACTTCCGGATAAAAGTAAATTATTGAAAATTTTGAAAATAAATTATATATACGTATATATAATATATAAATTATATATTATATACGTCGGGCTCCGCTACCAGTATCACGGTAACGAGCGATGTTAGGAGACTCAAAACATTTATTCATATTTAAATGCTCAAGTACTCTAACGATAGCCAATTGCGGGTTACAAGCCAAATATAAGAAAATCACGCTTGAATTCCATCACGAATAACTTTTTTTCTGGAAAATTCTCACCAAAATGCTTTTGTTCGCTTGTAAATAATATAATGAACTGTCACTGGAATAATTTTAACAGATGTCGGATGAGTGGCTTACAAATGACAGCAGTCTGAAATTTCATCTCACCTTGTATATGACATAAAAATATATTCAAATGAGAAATTTTTTTACCTTATAGTTTTTTATTGCTTTTACACACAAAAAATCTGGCAGAGCCTTACAGGGCTCAGCAGATATTAATTATTCTTTTGTATTTTCCATTACAACTCACTTTTTATTTAAATTTTTCACAGAAAAAAATCTTTAACGCGTCATTGCCGACGATTCTTTACAAAACGCCTAAAAGTATGCTCTCTTTTATATCATTACACCGAGAAATGCAAGAGACTTGCAATTGAAGCTAAATAAAATTACAACACACAGCCGCAGAACAGCAGAAATGGAAATATTGTTGAGTGGCAAGTTTAAATGTTATAAATAAAGGGTGATTTTTTGAGAGCTATAGGAGAGCTTTTAAAAACCGAACACCTGAAATGCAGAAAAATAAATGAAATCTTTATTTGAATTGGTAGTACCGTCCAAACATCGCAAAGTAACCAAAACAGAGGGTGACAATAAATTTAGATTTGTTCGAATTGGTCACCTTTGGCACGACCTCTGGCTTTCAAACGGCCAATGAAACCGTCACACGCTGCCCGAATGTTAATCTGCGGTATTTTGACCCAATTCCGGCGAATTTTGACCCAATTCGGACTAGTGGCTTAGAAATGACAGCAGTCTAAAGTTGGTTGCAGTATTTTCATCTCACCCTGTATATGAATTTCTGGCGTTAAGGTAAGACATAGACTTATGACATCATCTAGGACCTATAGTAAAATTATATGACCAATAAATTTGCACAGTATTTTGCCCGAATACTTGCGATTCCGTTTAAAGGGAGTTTTTTAACGATGTATTCCAAAAAAGATCAAGCAGACCCCTTTATTGACTCGCTTGAGGGTTAAGATTTTAGACCAAAATAATTCTCGTGTTTTTATCTGCAATATTGCCAAAGACACTATATCACTAAAATCACCGGATTCTGAGGAATTTTCATCCGGAAATTGCACAGTGTATTTTCCATATGAAACAGAAAATCTTAGGCTCCCATTGTCAAGCAATTATCCTTCATAGAAAATTTTTCTCAATTTCACTTTACCACCCTGTTTTCTTATTTAAAACAACTCAATTTAATCTTATCATTTTGACGGGCACAATATCTATCCACAATTTCGAGCAGATACTTAGAAATCAATAAAACAAAATAACTTCGATTTCATTCCTTCCGAAGGGGATTCACGCCACTCACCTGTAGACTACCAACAACGATAACTCTTATACCCAATCTCTTCTACAACATGTGAGTCATGCTACCCATTCGTCATACACCCTCCCCTCCCCTCCTCCAACATACCCAAAGGAAGGAAAACAATCTTATCTCGCTAAACCATTCCACTGGAAGTTGACATTTTCAAAATAAAGCCATTTCAAATTGATAGGTGTTGGTTTGCCGATACATATGAATCAGTTAACCGAAAACTGGTAGTGTAATTTTTTGTTAGTTAAGAAAAACAAATAACGAACGGAAAACTAGAAATTTTTGGGGAATTATTTTTTTTAATTTGAAAAATAAATCAGAAGAATGGGTAAGTCGAGAATTTATTTACGATTTTTGAGAAGGGGATTTTTTTTTAGATTTTGTTTAACAGAAAATATAACGGTTTTTCGTGCTAAACACTTTTTCGCATAATTTCGATGAATCATCTTAGTCACGGAAAATTCTAGCCGAAATTGAAGCAGGATAATAGCGGACTCCAAGGAGCAGAACAATGATTCGATTATGTTACTCTCATTTTCAATATATGGCCTTGAAGAGCGGAATTTCTCGAAGAAGGCTTTTAGGGTTTCTCGAAAATTCTTTTATAGACGTTCCGCGGAAAGCTTAGTGAATATTCATGCAGATGCATAGAAGACCCCAAAAGCTTATTTCGAAGTTTTTATAGAAGATTTGTTTTTTGGAAGGACTCAGGTACAATTGCTATGAAGCAGATCCTATAAAGGTGGGGCATTGAAGGGATATCCAAAGAGAAAGATTTATCCGGTTCTACCGTTGAAGAATTTTATTTAAATTTTTAAAGGTTTTTTTAAATAATTAGCTGGGACATCGTCGTAGACGTGTCACAAGCAGATCTCTTCCTCTCTCTCTCTCTTCTTTTTTTTATCTTTCCCATATTTCCAGCCCTCTCACTTCACGTCAAAATAATTTCCCAAACTTTACTTTGACACTTTCCCATTTCAGCCCAAAACTGGTTGCATTCATCCCCCTATGCACCGCTGCCACCCAAGGCTGTGGTCGGTGGCTACGACAGCGATGGCAGTCCCATTTATGTGGGACGTTCATTTCACGAGGGCGATTGCCTGCCCACCAAAGTTATACCCAGCAAACGTTCGGCCTTTGTGGCATGGGCTGGTGGCGAACATCCCAAAGCCCACTATGAATTGTTGCTGGGCGATGGTTATTCGTGGCAGCCCTGCTTCGGGCCCAATATACCGCCGAACGCCATCAGCACGGGTAAAACTAGCAACGGAGAAGCCGTGTATGTGGGTCGTGGCCACTATGCCAACAGCTTGACGGTGGGTAAAGTTCTGCCCTCTCATGGCTGTTTGTATATTCCCTACCAGGGAGGGGAAATTAAATTGGAGAAATATGAGGTGTTGGTATACGGCGGCGGAGCACCCGAAGCGGCACCTTTAATTGACTTGGATGGTAAGTTTTGGATTGTGCAGAATATTCATTGTTCTAATCATGTTAACTTCTTTTGTCAGATTACAAATGGGTCCACTCTTCGGCCTATTCCAGCCTGCCACCCAATGCTGTGGTGGGTGGCAATGATTTCGATGGTGACATGATGTATGTGGGCAGAGCTTTCCACCATGGCGATATGTTGGTGTTGAAAGTGGTTCCCGCCAAGAAATTGGCCTTTGGTTCGTGGAGGGGTGAGGAGGTGCCCAAGGATCATTTTGAAATCTTGTGCGGCCGCAACTTGGTGTGGCGCCACTGCTATAACCACATGATCCCCGACAATGCTGTGGTGTGTGGCACCACGTCGTTGGAACAGCCTGTCTACATTGGCAGAGGCCATTACGAGGGTAGTTTAACTGTGGGCCGTATTTCCAAAGTCCACAAGGCTTTGTTTATACCCTTCAGGGGAGTGGAGCGTCGTCTGGAAACCTATGAAATTTTGGTTGATGAGAAACAGTCGGCTGGCTGGAAGGTGGAACTGGCATCCACCGATCCCTTACCGTCACCACCTCCCCCACCACCAATGACACCAGAAAAGGTGTGTCCCTATCCAGAATTGAAAGCACCCATGCCAATGCCAGTACCCACACCAATGGGTCCACCACCACCCTACACACCCGTGGCAACTCCCATGCCCATGCCAATGCCTACACCCATGCCAAGTTATTTGCCTCCAAAACCAGGCTTCACTGAAGCCACCACATATGTACCCCCCGTTGCAGGGGCATATCCTCCATCCCAAATAATTCCAGCCTCCACATACAATTCGTCGACCTACCCTCCACCACCACCGCCAGCTACAATTGTGGTTACGGCAACAACTTACCAGCCCTCCAACCGTTTTGACAAATGGATGCCAGCATCACCGGCATACACTCCTGGCGATGCTGTACATGCTGGCCAAGATTCTGATATGTCCACCATTTATGTTTGCCGTGCCTTCCACAATGGCGACTTTATACCCGGTAAAGCGATACCAGGACGCTCTTCGGCCTACATTTCGTATCAGGGTCAAGAGATTCACAAAACAAATTTCGAAATTCTGGTGGGTCAACATTACATTTGGGTTCCGGCCATTGATGGTTATGCCCCCGGTGCCGTTGAGGGTGGGCGCACCAGCAGTGGTGAAATTTTATACATTGGTCGTGCCCACTATCATGGCTCCTTGACGTGTGGTAAAATTCATCGTTCCCATGGCTGTCTCTATATACCCTATGGCGGAAGGGAGATCCGCATCGATGGAGGCTATGAAATTCTGGTACATCGTGAGGACTATTATCGCGGTGGCCAATACATGGGCTATTGAGGAGGAGGAGCGTTTGTTGTCTTACTTTGGTGTATAAAAATTAGAGCGACTGTTATGTAAATATATAATCGTATGTAAATATGTTTATTCAAATCAATTAAATAATAAAAACCATAATTATCCGATAGCAGATATTCCGCATGTGGATTTTTGGAAATAATACGGGTGAGTATAATTGTTGTTGCTGAACATTATAATTAAGAGCTTCTAAATAGCATTGACAGAACTGAAGTTTCTTTTTGATCAAGTCAATCGCTATGCCGAGTCACAGAGGTGATAGAACACATATTCTGCGACAAGGAAACTACTTAAATTCTATGTTTTGCCGACAGATGTATACCCTCAGTCAATGCCCAGTTTATTTAAATATATTTTGAATTGAGTTATTAATATTCAAACTGCTGACCCATTATGGGAGAGGCTCCGCAGGAAAGGTCCAAAAATGTCAACATTTAAAGAAAGTCGAACATTTATTTTCAAATTTCTGCGAATAATTGTTAATTTAAATTCCCGATTATACAATTCAGACCAGATTTTGATTTGAAAGAAATATTAAGATATTCCAAGTTTGAAACGAATCGCAGACTCTTGTTTCGCAAGTTATGAAAAACATAAGTATGGCAAATTTTGACTTTTTGTGTGGGGGAAGTAGCAAGAGGGGTGGACCAATATCAATCATCTTCAGACTAGATCTTCCGTATTTAACGATAGCCGGAGGCTTATCTCACGTTTTATGAGAGTTATGTTCATTCAAAATTTTGATCCGTTGTGGGGGAGGTACTAGAAGGGGTGTGCCGATAAAAATATTGGGATGTGTGAAATTTAAAAAGAATCGGATGCTCATTTCGCATTTTATGAGCGTTATGGTTATTTAACATTTTGACTCTTAGTAAGGGGAGGTACTAGAAGGAGTGGTCCGACATATTCCATCTTCATACCAGGTCTTGTGTTAGCAGAAAAATTGGGATGCCCTGAGTTTGAAAGGAATCGGATGCTTATTTCGCGTTTTATGAGCTTCATGGTTATTCAAAATTTAGACCCGTTGTGGGGTAGGTACTAGAAGAGGTGGTCCGATATATTCCATCTTCACACCATATCGTGTGAAGGTAAAAATATTGGGATGTGTGAAATTTAAAAAGAATCGGAAGATCATTTCGAGTTTTATAAGCTTTATGATTATTTAAAATTTTGATCCGTTGTGGGGGAGGTACTGGAAGGGGTTGTCCGATATACTCCATCTTCACACCACATCGTGTGATGGTAAAAATATTGGGATGAGCCGTGTTTTAAAGGAATCGAAATATCATTTCGCATATAATGATCGTTATGGTTTTTTTAAATGCTTGACCCTTTGTGGGGGAGGTACTAGAAGGAGTGGTCCAATATATTTCATCTTTACAACAGGTTTTGTGTTAACAGAAACATTGGGATGCCCCGAGCTTGAAAGGAATCGGATGCTTATTTCGCATTTTATGAGCGTTATGGTTATTCAAAAGATTAACCCATTGTGGGGGAGGTACCAGAACGTCAGGTCCGAAATATTCCATCTCCACATCACATCTTGTGATGGTAGAAATATTGGGATGTGCCGAGTTTGAAAGGAATCGGATGCTTATTTCGCGTTTTATAAGCTTCATGATTATTCAAAATGTAGACCCGTTGTGGGGGAGGTACAAGAAGGGGTGGTCCGATATATTCCATCTTCGCACCACATCGTGTGATGGTAAAAATATTGGGATGAGCCGAGTTTGAAAGGAATCGGATGCTCATTTCGCGTTTTATAAGCTTCATGACTATTCAAAATTTAGACCCGTTGTGGGGGAGGTACTGGAAGGGGTGGTCCGATATACTCCATCTTCACACCACATCTTGTAATGGTAAACGTATTGGGATCTGTGAAATTTGAAAAGAATTGGATAAACATTTCGCATTTTATGACCCTTTGTGGGGGAGGTACCACAAGGGATGGTCCGATATATTCCATCTTTATTTTCTTTTAATTTTTTATTTGTGGACCGATATATTCTATCTTCACACCAGGTCTTTTGCTAATAGAAACATTGGGATGTGCCGAGTTTGAAAGGAATGCGATGTTTATTTCGCATTTTATGGGAGTTATATTTATTGAAAAATTTGGACCCTTTGTGGGGGTGGTACCACAAGGAATGGGTGGGTAAATCCCATCATAGCGCCAAATTTTGTGATGGTAAAAATATTGAGATATGCAGAGTTTGAAAAGAATCGAATAATAATTCCGCATTTTATGCGCGTTTTAGCTATTTAAAATTTTAACCCTTTTAACCAAAAGGACTTGTCCGTTCTTGTCCGTTTTCGCACCTGACATAGCACTGATACTGCCCAACCCAATCACTAAACTCGATCTAAGTTTAACAATACTGTTACGATGTGACAAGTTTGGATCGAATCGGATACTCCCTTCGAGAGTTATCATGGGCACCAGCCAGACAGACAGACGGACGGACTGCACCCTACATCGACTCCAAATGTCTTGAAAAGTATTTGACCGAAGAAGCTTAGACGCGATGAGACGCGTTTTGTCTGTATCAAGTGATCTATTCCCCCTGTAGCCATATGGCTGAGGGTATAAAAACCGAGCAAAATCCTCAGTAGGTTTGAAAAAGAAATTGGATTAATGAACTGAAGCTTTGTTCTCGAGCTCCGTGCAGTCAGAGTTGTACCCACAGGTCTGGCGCCCTCCGAACTCCAGAATTTTTTAACGTTTTCGGCACCATTTGAGTGCATTAGTTCATATTTCTGACTCAATGGGTAAAGAAATCTGAATTGTCAATTTAATGCTCTTAAAAAATCACCCTTTACAAAGGGGTTATACACAACGTTGTATCGTTAGTGACCGAAGCACATAACTTGACTACTCTCCAAATTGTAGCAATGGTTGTAACGTGTGTGGTCTGCATGAGTCTTACTCTACCATTGACACTTTCTCGCTCTCTCTCTCTCTCTCTCTCTCTCTCTCTCTCTGTCTCAGCCCCTCACATTTTTGGACTTCTATGCTAAACGTGTTCAGTGATCCGCAATAGATTTGATTGGAATATAATGGAGAGATAAGATTTGTCCAAAAACACGGTAGGTAAAGATTTCGTTTATTTACAACAAACTGTACATTTCAAAAAAAAAATGAAAACCAAGATATTGAAGCATTCCACGAAGGCGTGATATAAATTATATTCTAAGTGATACAATTTTACAATCTGATTATATGGCTTTATGGTTCCTTACAATAATTTATAAAATGAATACGCAGTTGGCAATATCTGGACATATACGGGTGAGATAAAAAAAAATAAAAACTGCAACAAAGTCAAATGCCATAATTTTACATTTCTTTTTTTAAATTTTATTGAATGAAAGCCAAAAATTTGTTCGAATTTGTCACCTTGAGGTACGAATTATGGCCTTCAAACGGCCAATGAAACCGTCACACGCTGCCCGAATGTTGCTCTGTGGTATTTTGGCCCATTCCTTTTTTGTGCCAACATTGCTTTCCAAAATACTCCAGACACAATAGTCCAACGTGTAACCATTCTTGGGTGGCGCGTGCTGAGTGCGATTGTGCTGAGTCTTGTTGGAATTTCCAGGGTCTGCGGCCAAAATGTTTGAGTGCGCAAGGCTTCAATACACCCTCCAGAATATTTTCGCAATAATATTCGGCATTTATTCTGATGCCACGGTCGATTAATACGAGCGGAGAGCGACCATCGGCTGTTATGGCGGCCCACACCATCACCATGGCCGGCGCTTGAGTTCTGGTAGCCAACCGAAGGTGCACATTTTCAGCTGACCTCTTTGGCAAGTAAATGCGATAATTTTGTTTGTTTACAAACTGCTGGACAACGAATGTTTTTTCATCGGAGAAAACCAAATTCGGCAGTTCACCACTTTCGGCCAAGCGAAGCAACTCTTTTGCTCTTTTGAGTCTATTTTCATTCTGTTGAGGTGTAAGTTCTTACACTTTTTAGAATTTCAATGGCTTTACCACCCTGAGCTCATTGCCGAATGGAATATTGCGATATGTTCAGTTCACGAGTCATTTTTCGGCCACTGTGACGCGGGTTTCGATCAAGTCGCTTCTTTACTTTTCGAACCATTTCTGCTGATTTTCTTCCGTCCACTTCCTTGACGTCGGCCTACGCTGGTAGCATCACGGTAACGAGCGATGGTACGAGACACAAAAGATTTATTCACATTTAAATGCTGGAGCGCTCTAACGATAGCCATTTGTGGTTTTCCAGCCAGGTATGAAGAAATCACACTATCCCGCTTGAGTTCCATAACGAATAACTTTTTTCCGGGAAAATTCTCACCAAAATGCTTTTGTACGGTTGTAAACAATATAATGAGCTGTCACTGGCATAATTTTAACAGCTGTCGGACGAGAGGCTTGGAAATGACAGCAGTCTGAAGTTGGTAGCAGTTTTTTCATCTCATCCTGTATAGAAAAATGTATAAAAATATGCCCAGAAAGAGAAAGGCTAATTTGATTTTTCTCCAACTTTCAAAATCCTAATATTTGCATCAGTGCTAGGTCAGATGCGAAAATGGACAATATCGGTCCACTTCATCAAGTTCCTCTCCCACGAAGGGTTAAAATTTTGAATAATTATAACTCTTTTATAATGTGATGTAAGTGTTCGATTGTCTTCAAATTACACACATCATATTACTTTTATTAACTCAAAGTCTGGTGTGAAGATGGAATATATCGGATTTCTCATTTTGGTACCTCCCGCACAGAAGGCCAAAATTTTGATAACATAAAACGCTTATAAAATGTGGAATTACCATATGATTCTTTTCAAATTTCACACATACCAATATTTTTACCATTACAAAATGTGGTGTGAATATGGGATATGACGGACCAAACCTTCTAGTACCTCCTCCACAACGGGTCATAATTTTTAATAACCATGAAGCTCACAAGACTCTAAATGAGTATCCGATTCCTTTCAAACTCTGCACATCCCAATGCTTCTATTAACACAAGACCTGGTGTGAAGATGGGATATATCGGTCCACTTCTTTTGGTACATTCCCCACAACGGGTCAACATTTTGAATTCCCATGTAGCTTAAAAAACCCGAAATTAACCTCC